GTACTTAAGTATGAGATGCTTACAATAAAAACGTCGCTGCCGGGCAACTGTGCAAACGCATAACCAAAGGTCCGAAGGCCAGCCTCAGGAAGAGTTTTTGTACTATTATTATTCACTTTTTTTTTTGTCAGAACGCGAAATTCGGATGAGCACGAGATCTCCTCAAATCGTGTAACTACACTTTCAACTCACCCAAATTCCATCTCCACATTTTCGAATGACACGAATCGATCAAATAAATCGTATCGTTACGTTTCCCCGCATACTCAACATGGGCTTCCACTGGAATGTCTACGAAGGCAATCGGCGTAAACCATTCTCTCTTTGGAATGTTAAATGCCCACAGGTTCCTGTCAGACTCTTTAGTGCAATTGCGATTACAAATGATATAAATGTTATCTTTAGAGGAAGTTAGGGCGAATTTGTCCATATATTCCGGCGGAGCATACTGGATGATGGATGACAGTTAAAAATTATTATCATTAATGAGATGCCTATAACACTATAATCCATGGAGTTGACGTATCGATATCATTTTTTATTACAGCATAACTCACCTCTGTTTTAGGTATATTCTCCGGCATTGAACTATCTGAATATAGAATAAACGTATGATTCGACCCTCCAAATATAAACAATACTTCTCCACCCGCTGACATTTGTACGACAATAGACTTATGACCACGTGGCAAATGTTGAAGTTTATTATCAGTGTTTAGCGGTGTATACCAAGTACCCGAAGTGCCTTTTGTTAAATCAAACGATTGAACTCCAGCATAATTATCATCGCTTGAGTCTGCTGCGTCGCCGGTTACGTATAAAATACCTTTTGACGTAACGGAACATGCTGGTCGATTGACGTTTGTAGCGTTAGTTACTGGCAGATAATTCCATGTGGGGTTTGTTGTATTGAAGGGCGTATTGATGTAGCTGAAGTAGGAGTGGTTACCATTGCCCGTACCACCGAAGACGTAAAAACTATTCCCGTAGACGAATGCGCAATGATCAACACGCGGTCCCGGATTAGAATAATCAAAATGAGAGATTTGCGAATTAGAAAAAATTGGGAAGGTGAGAAGAGTAAAAAGAATAAGGGGAAAGGAAGGAAAGGTGTTGGAATTATGCATGGTGAATGGGGAAATGGTGATAAAGCGAAATGATAAACTTTTGGCGAGTACACCCGGGAGGAATGAATGGATAATAAGAGAAAGAACCCCTACTCCAAGAAGGGGGAAAGGTTGATGGTGCTAAGATGATTTCATGTTGCTGGCGTCAAGAAGATATCATCGAGCATTTATGGACAAAATAACAAAAGTCGCGCACGGCCAAATTTGGAATCTACATTCCAAATTAAGTAATAATTGATTTGATTTTTATCACACGTTGTACTATCTGCTGTGTAAAGCAAAAGTGATTGAAGACAAGACCAACCAAGATATAAATTAATCGCTAAACCGGTTTTTACATAGTACAAGTGAGTTTCGCCATAGCTGCATGCTCCCGTTTCAGTTCATATGTCTTTATTGTACTATCGAGTCATTGTCAACTTGTGAAACGAAGCTTTAAATCAAACAATTTCTGTACATTTTATTGGATAAACAGTTCGCACGATGAACAAAGACCGAGTTTACAATAGCCAAGAATATCAAATTTCCCAATTTAAGTAAATTTAAAATAATGTTAATAACTTATATGGGAACTATTTTGATAATCCGAGAATTGTGCGGAGAATTTTCTCCGAAAGACAACATCGTTGCGTTGGCCACAACCTGTTGGCACCAGCACAGATATTAGACAAGCATGCCGGCACGCCTCGATTCTTTATTTCAACTTTCGAAACATGGGGAAATACTCGTACAATGTTATTCACAGCCAGAATGGTCTTCGTTTTCGACATTTTTATGTCTGGTGCAGATTTTGCGGTAAATACGCAACTTGGCAAATTTTGCTGCGTGCTGATTAAAATTAAAATTAGACATTCTACTTGCAGAAAGCAGAAAAATAATCGCTGTATAAACCGTTAATATTAATATGGCATAATGTTGCGCATACTGTATACAATATCATATATCTCTCAGTCAAACAAACGTACTAAAATAAACTACGCGCGATACGAAAATTATTGAATGAGCAAGACAATATTAATTTGGAACAGCGAAAGCAATGCTGTGATACTTGTGCCTTTTTTTTACCTGACAATCGAGGACAGAGTTTTGCTATCCAGAAATTTAATATTTGCACTTGCAGATTAGTTTAAACTGGTTAACACACACATTGACATGTGACAGTAATATTGTAAGATAGTCTCATATCATCACATTAAACGCAAGTAAATTTTGAAAGATAATAACAATACCATAATAGTAAAACAAACGTACCTTGAAAGGCAATTCTAAAAAACCATTGCATTGGTTTTACGATTGTGTAAACTTAGCAAAGTTTTAACACAATTACGTTACAATTACTGTTCTTGGACAATCCCGTAATTTTAATGTATGACAAACATAAATTAAAATGTGGCTTTGCTGAGAAAGACCAAAGAAACATTGTCACATCTAAACCCTATTAGCTGTTCGCTCGGATTCTCCGTCAATTATTAAGATAGTCAAATCAAATGTCTTATAGAAAAACGAAAACCATCACTTTAATCTAAAGTTTAACATATTAAAGATTAGCTTACTAAATCTGCAATATTACTATTTTTTTTTACGATATATTGCTTTAGTTGGATTTTATATAAATAATTTTATGGTTTTGAGGATCTGCGCGCTAATTAATTAAATCAGAAGTTTAAAATTCCAGGTTTATGTTGGTGTTTGTATTTGTATTGTTTATTCAAACTCTACTCACAATTAATCCACCAGATGTGTCAATGCGCCTACGCATTTAATGAAAACCGTTTGGCTTGCAAATTGTACCCTGTCAGTTGTTTAAATTACTCAAAAACAGAAGTCTCTTTGCGCGTTATAATTAATTATTTAGCCAAAAAATACCATATTTGGATAATGCTGAGCACGTATGTGTATGTAAAGTAAGATAACCAAATCAAATGCTAAAAAAATGTATACCATGCGTAATGAATTAAACTATAAACAAGAACAACGTAACTAACATGGAAATTTAAGAATAGATATGCCAAGCAAAAAAAAAAAATTGGGACATACGATTTAATGAAACATCAGAAAATAGAAATAAGTGATACATACAAGGGAGAACAGATTTTCCGTGTGTGTAACAGGTCAGCATGATTAAACAAAACTCACGCCGTAGTTCATGTCTGTGTAAAGAATATTCAAGTAAGTCAAATTTATGAATGGCACGTCAAGTATTTTTGTGGCCTCTTCAAAGTATCTCAACATACGGTTATGTTATACTTAAAAAAACGACGGGGGTTATCCAAGAATAAAATGGATATTAAAAATGTTACACTGCATTCTTTGTTCTAAATTGACATAAATGGTAAAAGACTAATGCAACGGTCTTTCATAATGTGATGATATGAGATTATCCCACATGTATAGTACACTATTGTCACATGTCAATGTGTGTTAATTAGTTTAAATTAATCTGCAAGCGAAGAATATCATAATTTGACTATGTCAATGAGCTGACTATACAACTATAATTTGCTGCAAAAATGCGAGCGTGTCTTTGAAAAATTGACATAATTGTAAATTAACATTGTTCGTAGTCAACCAATACAATCAATGGTCTTTAGTATCTATATAAAATATCTGTTCACTAATGCGCCACGTTAACCAGAACTAAACTGCATATATGCTACAAAATCGGCCTTTGATTGTTAAAGTTGCGTATAAATGTTGCCATCGCATCAACCTTTAACCATCCGTCTGTGAACAACGTTACACGAAAGCTGTTCGTTGTCATAGAAGTGTTTCGAACGAGCCCCGAAATAATCATGTAATAGGTGTTCTAATTAATTGTGGCAAAGTAAAAGATAATTTATCCTGTTCAACAAGACTGTAGGAAAACCTTCGTAGAGTTCTCAGATTGCCAGGGACGCACCATTATAAATTTACTTATTATTAAATTGGGGATGTACCCCTTAATATTAATATTAAATCGGGTAAAATCTAAAGTGACACGACCACCAGTTTAGTATTCTCGGCCATTGAATATCTAATTGTTCGTTCCCCATTATTAATTTCTAGACAAATGGTTTCTCATCGAAGACTTCGCTGCACGCACAACTTTACTTTCTTGTTCACAATTACAAATAAAAAGGTAGTATGTTAGATGAAGAAGCGGTATAATTAGACCCTAACGCTTTCCATCATTCCCAGAAGCTTCGTCCCGCCTTCCGCCGTCCGGTAACAGTGATACCGAGAGCTCCGGGTCCCTTCTCTCTCTCCCATGTCTCAGTTTCCCCCCTCCCCCGGAACTGTACGGGCTTATCGTGTTTCAAATGGGCACTACGACTTTCTATTAATGTGACAACTACGAAAGATCGGGGGTGGTAGTGCATGCGTCGGGTATATTGAAGTAGATAGATAAAAACAGCTTAGATCGAGCTATTGGTAAGCATTTTCGTTGCGAGTAAACCTTTCTCACGATGGTCAAGTGTTTGTGCTGTGACGTTGTCTTGTGGCATCAAAAGTATCTCAACAAACAAGCCACTTGCGTTTATGTCATACATTAAATTAGGGGACAGTAATCGCAACGGGGTAACAATGAAATTACCGTTACCACATCGCTCTTTGTTCTAAATTTACATGAATTGTAAAAAACATCATTCAACCAATGGGGTTTTCCGTAATTGCTTTGAGTACATTTACTTTACTATTAGCATTAATGTTATCTTCCAAAACGCCACTTACGTTAAATGTAAGACGTAAACCATCCCACATGTATAATGCAATATTACTGTGTTAGCCGGTTTAAATCAAGTGTTTCTTGTGTTGTGCAAGCAAATGATCGAAATTTTGACTATGTCCGCATTGACTGCAAGTCATCGATGCATATTACTGTGAGTGAGTCCTGGTATTAAAAATAACACAAATGAATATAATGACAGAATCGAATAAATTGATATAACGCTATTATCAAAAGCTTCGTGAGGAATGGAATAATCACCCCTCCGCTCCGCGATCTATTGATTGGTCTTTATTTAATAACACCTAAGATAGCAAGTCTAATGTGATACGACGTAAACTGAATATAGACAACATCAACTGTTCGAATGAGAAATAGCTCGTAAACTAATACAGTAACGAGTACATTTCGTATAGAAACTGGTTGATAAAAAGGTTAATTCAAGTCAAGACCTACAAGAACAATAACTAGTAGAAGATTTTTTAAAAAATAATTCGAAAAAGCTAACAATGAAGATTCTACCGTTGTTCTCGAGACAAAAACAAAACAGAAAATGTTCGAAAGCCAAGAGAAATAAAAACGTCTATGACGCAATGAAGAGTCTCGTTAGTGTTATTATTCAATGCTAATCTGTATAACTAGGATGCTGACAAAGATTGGTATGCTGTCTTTCAACGCATACAATGAACAGATAATCTTCATCCATTGTACTAATATGTTCTACGGCTTGTTTGTGAAAGATTGCGTTTCGCAAGTTATCGAATGATATCACTGTACTACGTTAATTTAAATAAACTGGTGTATAAATCCAACCCCTTCAAAGCAAGACCAAATTCCCTGCACAAGAAGGTAACGCTACATGCAATAAACAAACAACCCCGGTTTGGAACTCACATTCCAATTTTGGTTTCTCCGCGCAACGTTCGTTTTCCATAAATATTTAACCGCATACCGCATCCCGTCCTGCAATATTAACAGACATTCCTTTAATCTCTCCTATAGATCATATTTCACATTGAACCCGGGCTAACCCCCCCCCTCTCTCCCTCTTCAAAAAATTACTCTCTTTAGTCCTCAACCATGTATAAATTTCCCGTTTTCCTTCTCGTCCTTCTCATCGTCCTCATTTTTACCACCTCGTCTACCCCTCAAATCTTAGCTTCTCAACCGCACCTTGATCATTGTTTATTCACTTACAAAAAACGGTTTTACATATACAGTGGTTCCAACTTAAGATACATCCAGACACCCTTTTCTGTAAACACGCTCAATTGGGCCCCAATTAGCGCCAAAAAAATCGACCAACCGGCGTGTTTTGTTACTACACCAGAAGGAATCTTAGATGTGACAGATAGAGCGAATGGTTCCAGTTTCCGAGCACTTGATCTGAATAAAGAACAAACTCCTCTTTGGCATACTGAAAATTACAAAGTGGATACTGAATATTTGTCAGCTAAGCCCATTGATGTACCAACCTCAGAGGGTAAACAAGTGTTTATTTTTAAAGGGGTTCAGCCGGGCAATGATTCTATAGACAATTCGGTTTGGAAAGCTATATCTAAAGGGGTAAGTATGGAAATAATGAGGAATTCGAGAAAAAGTGGTGGGTTAAGAATATACGGGGCTAATTTTGATGAGTTATTCTAATTTTCTTCTCTCACTTCTAACCAGAATGAGACTAACCCGCCAAACCGGCAATTTACGTTTGCACAATTGGCCGATAGCGATGTTTTCATTGTAAGCTAGTTATATTAAAGAAGCGCATGCACTATAATAATAATTATAAGTAATTTAGTTACCCTTTATCTGTTCTACCGAATTTTTAAATCCAAATTTAAGACTTATTACGGAAATGATAGCATAGCCGCATTCAACACAACTCAACGTGCTTGGGTTACTGAAGTCAATGACGTAAGCGATGCGGCCAACGATCTGTTCTTCGTTGTTGCACCTACCCCTACCCCTACCCCTATCATATTCACCAGCGGACCCCCTAATGAACCTGCCAACGGAACCACTGATGAACCTGCCAGCGGACCCCCTAATGAACCTGCCAGCGGACCCACTAACGACTCAACGAACGACAATGGATCCAAGACCAACCCCGGACCAAAATCTTTACCGAAAATAATTCCTGGAGTAATTGGAATAATAGTGGTTCTAGCATTCACGGTTTTGGGCTTGTTGCATGGCCGGATAAAAAATGAGGGAAAAAATGAGCAATTGTCAATCGTGGAAACAGAAACAAGTTCTCAGGGAAACAGTTTAGAGATCTGTCAATCATCTACACTTGAAGTGTCTGGGCATCGAAATGAACATTATTCATTTTTATCCGATAATACTATTACTATGGATGACAATTCACTGATTTATCAACCCAAACTTGAAGTAGATAGTTTGCACATTGAGCATTGTTCATTTTTGTCTGACACTACTGCAGTATCTATATCCAATTTCTCAACATCTCCAACTTCACATGGTACGGGGAAACTGAATTCCACTCCCTCTCCATCACTACCATTTATAGACTGGCTCTATACTCAATATGAAGTGACAACTAGTACATTCACTGCTTCATCCACGTCTTTGATACTTCCATCAGTTCCATCAGGCACGAAAATATTCAACAAGTACAAACTCAGCGGAATGTCAACGCACGGCGTCAACAATGCTGTTCGTCGTGCAGAGGATGAGACTGTGGGTGAAAACGTGGCCGTAAAGTTTTTCAAAAAAAAAGATTCATTCGAACGCGAGGTTGTCATGCTGAAGCATCTTCGATCGGAATTTGTTTGTGCATTGCGGGATATATTCGATATTTCCAATCCCACTGACTGGAAATATGTTACAGTCATGGACTATTATCCTATGAGCTTGGATAACTTTATCGTTAGCCGTACCGAGACTATGTCTAAAGTATGTGTGAAGGAAGTGGTAGAGTCATTAGCAGAAGCAATTCAGTATGTTCATGATCACCGAATAGTGCATCTGGATATTAAGCCGGGAAACTTTGTCCACGAAATTGGAGAATTTTCGAACAAGTGGAGATTGATTGATTTTGAAGCGGCGAGGGTTGATGGAGAAGAGGATGTTGATAGCACCACATTAAAATATGCTTCACGTAAGTAGTGAGAAACATTGAGATGTCGTAATGGTATCTTTAGCATACAAAACTTATCATTTCTCTCTTTACCCAGCTGAGATAATCAATGCGGTTACATTACGCACTAGTATTAAAGCAAGTAAGTCGATGGATATGTGGTCGTTAGGGTGCACAATGTACGAAGCATGTACTGGAAGCCCTCTCTTTTCGAATGAGGAAGAGGCTTCTGTTAAATTATCTGAAGCATACAACACGAAGCACTTGGAATTACCTCTTCATAACGTGGAAGATATTCAAGCGAGGCACGTGCTTGAAAAATTGTTAGTCATTGACCCTACGAAGAGAACTACAGTTGATAACATTTTAAAAGGAGCATATTTGAAAGGCGGGCCTGACAGTATTCAGGTATATACATATTGCTGTTGTTGTCTGTTGCCGAACGCTGCCTTCTGCAAACACTCAATTTATACGTTTTTATTATGCCATTTAAAGATATACAATCTGCAGTCTGAATCCGTTGAAGAATTCTTGAACATACTAAACGAGAATACGAGCGTTGCTCATTCCGACGTGCCAGAACGCCCACTAATATGATATCATCCCAGTTCGATGTGGTTGTGAGTAGTAAATTCGATGCTAGAGGGATGCGCTGTCCTGAATGTTTATGTCATTACCAAAAAAAACGGTTTGTAAAGGTCTTAAACTGACCACTGACCATATAGCAAAACACATTTCACTGACCATCCTGGTTACGAGATATATTTTGTCCAATGACGTTTCGATTGTTTCAAAAAAAAAAAAAGCAAATTAGAAACGGATGGTTTGCGACAGTACAGAATGAACCACTCAATAAATGATTTTTGCACAGGTCCTGCACTGTGTGAGTTTAAAACGTTCATATCTAATATTTATTTGTGATTATAACGTTAGCTACACAAATTATCAGTCTTTTATATTAACTGTTCGTTTCTCTGCTTGGTTCATTATAAGAATGCCTTCTCCTGCAATTAAACTGTTTGGATAAACTGAGTACAATAAAGTTATTCTCTACTTTATTTTATTGAAATAACAGAGACATAACTAAACGTTACTACCGTAACCAATGCGCAAATATTCGATGCTCTTAACAGTGTAATAGTAATTTTTTTAATACTTGGTATTTTTAAACTTTCCGAAGTTTATGCCAGTAGTTTGAAGTTAAATACCCTCTGTCCCCGACGCTGTTCAATGACTTGAAAATAATTGATAAACTATTTCTAACTTTTTATTTTGGTAAACGATAATTATAATCCAACCGACTTATTGAACATGATCGATATTGCATATGTACCTGAATCGACGATCTATTTGGAATGCTTAAGAAAACTCGTTAGACTTTCGTCGTAAAACTTGGTTAGCTTATTGCAAGCGATCCAATATTAAAACCGATCAATTCGATCTAGAGAATAATATAAATGCAAGTCTACTCTTAAGTCTACACTTAAGTCTCCTGAAATAACTATCATGAAGAAGGAGCTTAACGATAACAAACGTAGCGTTATGGAAACAGGTTCTACTATAAGACTTCTATTATAATAATTACGAATAATATTAATATGTTTATTACAAACTGTTATGTTTGAGAATTAAGTAAAACATTCGTAATGAGTACGTTTGTTGTGAATGATGTTGTGTTAATATTATTATTTTTATCAATACGAGGCGAGTCTTTTCGTCGGCTCGTAGCGTAGTGGTTTCACTATGCGTTTCTTCGTAGCGAACATTAATAACTTCCTTAACCAACATATGGCTATATGTGAACGAGAAATATTGTTATTTCTGATATTGTATAAACGAAGTAAACGTTATAAAAGTATAATTATAATGGTTGGATAATTGATAACTAACTGTTTGTAGTTCGAACGAAAATATTCACTTAATACATGACAATGTCATTGTTACGTTAACTGGGTATAGATAATACTCCACCTAGGTAGTTGCGTAGCGAGGAATATTTATTAGAGTATTCGACAATGTTAGCTCCCTCAATTGAGAGTGTTCATAATTGGTTTGCTGTTCCGATCCACTGAATCGGAGTCTAACACCGATGGTAATCAGTAATATCAATTACTAATTAAGCCATCGTTCAGCCTATGACATGCATGTTATGTTACTTTGAGTTACTTAACTGTTTCGCTGTAATTACATTACCGCTCGACGCCAAAGCGAAGAGTATTATAATTTTATTAAACTGAGTAAAATAGAGTTACCTTCGCTATGCTTAGGAGGAATAACGGTTACGGGAATATTCGTCTAGACATGTAGTTATCCTGACGAGTTATTGTTATAGAAGGCTATTATGAGAATAATTAGTATAATCGTTAATCACAGGAACCGTTAATGAAGCGATCTTGAGTAGAACAGAACCCTCAGGATAACCTATCGCGTTCACAGTCTTGAATTCAAATAAATGCGTTTTAATTATAAAAATTAATTCATACCAGTTACTCATGTAATAGCAAAACGAAGTAAATAATACCGTATCCATTTAATAAAGAATGTTAGTGTCATGTCTAATGTAAAACATGATGTAATTTTACATTAAAAAAGTGTTTAACAGCTATCTAAATTAAAGCTTAATAAACAGCGAATGTTATTGGGCACACCATTACATCACAAATACATACGTAGTAACAAATTTGTGTAAAAACACCATTTATCAATCCTCACCACAAACACATTCTACCAAACTCTCGGACCGTAGGCATAAATCATGCGCCCTCTTCAAAAAGACACCCAATATTTAACTCAATTCACCAGCAAAAATACATTAGTCCATTTCGACTCAACAGCTGTGCACGTTATTGAAGTCCCGAACATCAACCTTAAAGCTAAAGAAAATATTTCTTAATTGCTGACGAACTATTGCCACTTATTTTGAAGTTTATGTACCTAATAACAATTTTGATTGGCCGCATCATCGCCTTTATGCTTGATGATGTTGTTGAATTGGCTGGACCTATTACAAATGTATAAATTAAACCACATAAATTTTTGATTGACCAGTAATACCATTAATTGGCTACAAACGGTCAGTCTCTAGCTCAAGTTTGTAATATGACAACATTTGTAGTACGGACTATAGTCAATATGGCGCTACAATACAACTTGCAGAAGTTGATATACAAGTCCGTCACAATTCTGATATAAAAAATTTTCATGAAAGAACAAAAAAGGCAAAATTGGCTCGAAAGTATCTATTGTCAGCGAACTAGATTTATCTAACAACAAGCTCTATTTAGAGCTTCACAACTTGACTTTCATGTCTCCTCAAATTGCTCCAACCAATCAAATATTCATGACCACGCGACCTCAACCCCCTTTGTCAGAAAAAGGACACTCATGTACAAATTAACGTGGAATCGATTCCTGCTGTTCACGCGTCGATGCGGGACTGTTAGCAATTAATGTGATGTGTCAAATGATAATTACAACGCGCAAAGTCAGCTCTATTTGAAATGGTATTCAAAACTGCTGGCGCAAAATAAGTTGACATGTCAATTGCTTTAGGCATACAGTTATCCCTCGTTTATATCCCCACTTTGGGACGGAGACTTTTTGGGGATATATCTGAAGTGGGATATAACTGAATATAGT